CTGCGGTGATTAGAAAGTTCAAATATTTTTAAGAAAACATAAAAATTGAGTTTAATTTCGATTTTCTACTCGTTTTGTTATTAATTAAATAGCAATAACAAAAATATTTTTTGTTATTGTTATTTTTTTAAACATTAAAAGATTTTTTCAGCTGAAATAATAAAAAATATAAATTATTACACGTTTGTTATAATAATTGTGATTAATCATAATTCGGATTATTTTTGCCACTATTGTGCCGTGTAACTGTTTTTCTAAAATTTCCTACTTTATCACTATTTTTGGTTTACCCATTGTGTTAATCGGTTCGATTATAAGATCCAATTATTACATTGTAACATAATAATATGTTTGCATATACTTTATCTTGCTAAAATTTAAAACTAATTAATATTTTCGTATTACGATAATTAGAAAAGCTACGGTAATTAATTCTATGATACTTAGAACACGATCCGTTTTCTAAAAAAAATCAAAACCTGGAAGTGATGAAAAATACTCGAATACCGTAGTACATAAAGGCCTCGAGGTTCTTTCATTTCAACAAGCGACAACACATTTACTTGAAAAATGTAATTCACAAATACAGGAACGGGAATTAGAAACTTTTAAAAAGATACGGTAATTAGATACTTACGTAAATTGCAAGCAATTATAATATAGAATATAATATGCTACATACACACATAGAATACAAAATTGTTCGATTTATCTGAATATGTTACGAGTATGTATGCTTTTATTGGAGATTAAATATACGACGAACAAGCCGTGCGCCTGATATATATATATATATATATATAGACGGGTCTAATACAAAAACCACGAAAAAAATGTCCCAAGTCAACCTATTTAAACGTAGTGACATGTAAAGGAATATGAAAAAGCTAAAACGTTGAATTTAAATTGTAATGTCATCGCAGTACTGTCTAATTTTGCTTGCTCCGCTGTCAGTCGAACAAACGAAGACTAGAGCGTGAATGACGCTCTGTATACGATTTTAACGCCCTATAAGTTCGGACACTTTTTAGCGCGGACCCGACGTCCATATAATTGTAAGTCAATGAGTTGATAAATCCCATGTGCCTGTAATTTCACTAACTAAAGTTTTTAAATCAAAAACTTTTACATTTTTTGAAAAATATTAAAGGTCTTTTAAACATTGAAATAGAACTAGCATATCGAGTATATAACCAGAAATAGACGAAATGTCATTTAATTTGTTTGAAAACTATTCTGCCATATCATTACTGTGACAACTGCGCTCCGATTGGCTAGCCCGAGTTCGTTAATGGGTGTCGTCAACTGTTTCACTTCAAATCAACCAGTTAACCTGAGCTTTGCTATAATGGACGAAAATTGCAAAATTACATATTTAATATTTAATTGCCGATGAAATGTGATTCCGTTTGTTTTGTAATTAAATGTTTTGCTGTTTTTCCCACACCACCGAATAGAACAGAACGGCATTGTTAGAGATATTATCTTTATTACAATAAATACAGAATATTTTTTGGAATATACGGAGACGTACACAAAGGTTGGCCTGTCTATATTTCAGTGCAAACGGGAGTTGATATTTATAAGATCTGTATCGCTAATAAAAGTCACCAGGAATATATGGCCCTTATTTCGTCTCTATTTCTGGTTATATACTCGATAAACTAGCATATCTGAAAACATAGAAAATATAGATCACATGGTAGGACAATGGTTACAACCAATGATTTAATCAGCTAAACAAAAGTACATAAGCTGGCTTTCTTGCATGTCGATACACTGAATAAAACAACGTAATTAAACTAAATTTTGTTTATGTAAAAAATAATAAAACAAATGAAGCCAATTTAAAAAAACATGTAAATTATTGATTTAATAAACATTGGGAATAGATGTAGCGTACACAATAGTGCTTTTGCCTTTGGAAGGCCATTTCATATCTCTGTCTTCATCTTGTTCCTTCGTACTGTTCCTTGCTATATTTGGTTCTGTTACACTTTCCAAATTGATTGTGGTATCATCGTGATTTGGACCATACTTTATAACTTTAGAGTTTGCAAACACAGTCTCTATTTTTCTACTTTCTGATAATTTTCCTGAAATATTTCTTGAAGGTTTTTCTTTAAGATTATATTGTGGCGTTTTTGTATTAGAATATGTTGATACTTTGTTGTGATGTATGTCTTTATTTGTGAATTCTGGTTTGTATATTGTATCTTCAGAATTGGTTTTACGGCTCTCAATTTTTTTAGTTTCAAAATCCGGTTTTTCTAAAGTTGGTGGTGTTCTAAATTGTACTTTAGCTTCTGTGGTTTGTTCTATTTTAGGCGATAGATTTCTGTCAGTTGTATAATGGTATCTATCTTCTAAATTCTCCAAATCGACATCCTCCATACTATTTAGGAAATATGCATGGTTGTCAACTGTAAAATCAGGATAGTAATCGTCTACGCCGTTCATTGGCATTGGATGTACAATATCTTCTTTACCTAGTTCTGGACTCGTGATACTTTGTGTGTTTTCTGCTTTAACTGCTTCGTGTTGAATCTTAAATGCTGTGTCTTCAATGTTGACCGGGAGTTTTGAATCTTGATTTCCATTATTCTCACCTACTTCTTCTATACCGTCGAGCAATGTTTCCGATTTATTTGCCCTTACACTTGTATTAGTATTTTCTATTACAAATGTAGTTTCTACTTTTTCAACAGGCTCAATTTCTTTGAGAGATTTACCAGTTTCTAACTCTTTAATTTTGTTTTCTTCTGTACTATTAGAGGTTTCCTGATGTTTACCAGATTCTGTAGAAGTAGCTGCATTGTTTATATCAGTACCGTTTAGTCTAGTGGTTATATCTGCCGTAGTGTCTTTGTTAGAATCGTTTTTGTTCTTTAATGTTTCATTACGTCTTCTGTTATTCTTTTTATTTGATTTTTTCCTTCCATTTTTAGAACTTCTGGGCGTGTTATAGAATGGTGTTCTATAAAATTCTTCAAAATTCATAGGAAACATGGGATATTGATTTGTTATACTATTTTGTTCTTGTTGTAAATATTTCTTCATATGACGTATTAAATCTCTTACTAAATTTTCAGGTATATTTGGGAATTTTCGTTTAAAATCTTGTACTACAAATTCTTCTTTATTTTGAGGTTGTAAATGTACATTCAATGTCATAGTTGTAGGTTTATTTTGACTGTTTATTATTTTTGGTTTGCCGTTGCCTTTCGTAAAATTATATTTACTCATGTCTATACTATTAATGTGTTTATCGTTACTTCTTGCACTAACTTGATTATTGCTTCCAAATAGTTGTCCTTCATGTACATTTGTGTTTTGATCATTATTGTAAAATTGTAAATATCGATCTAACATACCATTATACTTAGAATTATTATCTACACCTGTACTTACGTACTGATAGCTGTTGGATAAACAGGGACTGTTACAAAAGTTGCTCCTGGTTATTTCTGTGTAAGGGCTATTGTAAATATTACGTACAGGTGCTTGTATATTCATATTTGGCATTTGCATTTGATTTTCTATTGGCTCATTTTTTGGTATTGTTAATTCACCTGTGCTTTTGCTTTGAGGAACATTTATTTCTGTATAATTGTCTATATTTAAAGGTTGTTCTGTCCTTGTTGTTTGATTTAAAATTACATTGTTAATATTTTGATCTAAAATAACACCATGTGCGTCTAATATTTCATTATGATTTGTAGATATATTAGTAACCTCAGTTGTAAGTTGTGTTTCATCTATTTTAGTATTATTCTCATTAAGTGGAGTCAATTTGTTTTTAGTTTCTTCATTCATTTCATATCCTCTCTGTACATCTTTTCTATTTTTTCTATTCTTCCTTTTACCTTTCCTCTTTTTATTCTTTTCTCTCCTTTCTTCAATGATTTTGTTGTTTCTGTCTTTCTTACAATCTTCCATTAAAACATCAGGAGGTACAATAATGTAGTTGTTAACTACGTTAGGTACATTATATGGGCTTTTAAGTATTTCAACACCATATTGATTGTATAATCTCGTGTTAGGATCTAGTATAGTTTTTACAGCTGGATTTTCAAGAACGCTATTTGCATAAGAAGGATTGATAGTATTCCTTGATATTTGAAGTGGTTTATTTTTGCAAACATTGCATTGGTTGTTCGTTAAAATCATTTCAGTTTGATAGGGATTTGGATTAGACATCAAATTGACATTGGACGTAAATAAAGGATTTTGTAACAAATTCTGTAACATCAATTGCTTTTGACGTGGTATCGGATTTTGATATGACGGCAGTTGATCTTGACTCATTGACATTGAATTTTGACATGCCGTCAATGGATTTTGACAAGGTGTCATTTGATTTTGAATGACATTGGGTAATAAATTCTGTACTAATGGCAGTTGATATGCGTTGGCGTTGATGGGTAGTATAAGAGGTGTTGTTGGTGACTCATTATGGCAGGGACATGATGTTGATGGTTCCAAGGCTAGGGCTTGAAGTATAGGGTTACATGTCACCTGTAAGAGAGAATTATTTGGTTTTAGTAAGGTTGTTATAAAATGTGTTAAGGAATACATCCGGGGTCTTCACATTAACATGACTATACTTGTTATGGACTGAAATAAGATTGTCTGAGATGATTAGTGGCGTCTCTTTTAACACGGTTCTGACAGAATACTAAAGTCGTGGGAAACTGCGGCATTCATACTGAGCCAGCCTTTTTACTGACATGACTTCCAGAACCATGTACTGTAATTAGTTATAACTATATTCATACGTTCACTTTGTTATAAAATTTGTTATTTTTAATTAGTCCAATTTAATAATAATTATGATGTTCGATTTAGTGGATCCTATATAAATATTCTGTCATGGAAATTAATAAAGTTTTATCTATTTATCTATCTATCTAAATATACGTAAAACCTTTTGAAAGTAGTAAATATATAAGGTGCTAACAAATTGTGTACTTGTTAGGAATTAAGTAAATCAACTGTGCCAGAAATCACACCAATTGCTTGATCTCAAACCAGGGAATTCCCTATACTATGAGTATGTTACGAGGGAGTTCTAAATAAAAGAAAGAACTTCCCTTGTAATCAAATTTATTTGGGCGCGGTTCGTTTGAGACCCAACGGTAATACACTGCACTATTTGCCTTCCTACGACCAGCAGCTGGTACTGCCCTGGCAGGTCCGTCGAAGTGACGTCCGGGGTTAGATAAACCGGATCGACGAAATTCTGGGGCACTTTCTAGAACACCCAAACCAGAACCAAAGAAAAAATCATTTCCCAAAATTGTCCTACCGGGAATCGAACCCGAAACCTCCGCATGCAGCGCTCACAGTGTAAACCGTTAGGCCGCCAAGGTCGTCAAATTATGCTTCAATCTAAAATACAAGTTAAAAGACTTTTTATGAGATTTTACTTTCCCTTACAAATAAACTAACTTATTATAGTTCCATCTAATCATGTACACAGGGTGCAATAAAAAGGTGCATATTTGAACTGGCGATAGAAAACCGCTTTATTGTCCTTCACTTTTACCGCATCTGCTGTCTTCTGTAAATTTTCCACCCTGAAATCAAATCCGATGATCCCCTTCTCTTGACTTTTTTAAGCAACGGTGACGTTTCAAGGAACACTCGCTAATGCCTATTGTTCACTACCCTTTAATTTTTTTTATATAATATCGTGGTAAGCGACACGCCTGTCTATAATTTATTGCAGCCTGTATACATTGCATATCGCAGCTACACGATCATCAAAATAAAAACTGCTTACCGATGAAATTCCAACTAGGAAGCTCAGCAGAATTATGTTTACAAACATTTTTTATCATTATTTGCATCACTGCATTTTAAAACATATACACAAAAATTTAAGTTCCACGGCTGTGCACAGACTGCTTTGTTACGTAAAAAAGCCAACACTGTAAATGTCAATTAATTCAAACATTGTAATGACTAAAAATATAAAATATTTATAAGATGTTTTATGATATTAACAGAATCAAACTTTATGTAAAAATACGTGATAAATATATATAAGTTTACGTTATATATCGACATAGGTAAAGATAATTAGTTATTTCTTTAATTGATATCTGTTACAGATTGTGCGTTTATGATTGCTCACGATTATATTTAGTTTTTATCTTGTTATCGTTAAGTTCAAATCGACCTATCGTTAATTAACTGTTGTAACTCATATTACGTAATTTTTTCTCAGCATTTTATTTTTGGGTTGTACCCATCTGATCCACTAAAACAGATCCCCTGGCGGATCTGGTTTATTTATTATCCGGTTGATTAGGGTCCACTGAAAACCAGCGTCACAGTCTTTATTCCTGTAGATCCTTTTACATACGCCACATCCACATACATGACATTTATTCAAATTTCTGTTCCTTTTTCTGTATAAAATTGATTATTTTTTTTTTATTTTATTTTTTTTTATTCAATTTCAAAAACATTAACTATTTTATTACATTAACGCTAGGTAAAAACTTAATGGTTTAACCACCTAGCGATGAGCTAACAAGCTCGGTACTTAAATTAGCTTACTACTTACTAAAATACAAATAATATATTACGATTAAGAGGGCTAAATGCAAATAAAATGAAAAATTACATTACGACCCAAGATAGTACTTCTTTAAAATAGCTTTGCATTTCCTGACATCACCCTCAATTGCATCTAGTACTGTGTTTGCTTCGTTGTTTTTCTTTTATATTTTTCTGTATATCTTTGTGTTGTGACGTTGTAATAAATGAATTATTTTCTATTCTATTTTATATTATTTTCTATTCCTATTTTTTTTAATAGCGAACACATACCGACAAACAACCACAAATTACATCCAAACTCACGAGAGAATTAAATATCGGCCATACAAATATCTCTCCAGGCCCGGAAATCGAACCCGGGTCCTCTGCGTGGCAGTCCAGCATAGTAATCGTTCGGCCACGGAGGCAGTTAATTCGTAAGTAAATTCCTCTGCGTTAAGAGTAAATATTAATATTTTGTTCCCATACTGATACCCTGGCACTTACAAGCTGCTTCTTGGTAGGTATTGCGGTACAGTTAACAAGAAAATGTATTTATATATATAACTACGTAAATATGACTTGTCACTAAATAATTTGATTGTTTGTGGTAACTGTAACATTTAACTTAGATTTAAAATATTACTTAAGACTGATTTTTTGTTACTTGTCATTTGCAATGTGTCAATCACTAATGATCTGTAATAAAAAAAAAATGTCTGTGATGATTATAACATTTGAACAAGATTGCTCAATAAATAAATATTTGATTTTAAAACTTCTTTTTGTCTCGACTGTACTTACCTTACGAATACAATGAGGAGGTCCGTTGGGAGTTGCAAAATATAGAGAGGATCTGTCCGGATTTAAAATTGGCGCTGGATCAGTTGTAATGGATCTGAAGGGAATAACCACTAAGCAGTAGCCCAGCATATCTTTGAAATTCGATAGCACTGTTCTACAGGCTTAAAACGACAAACGAAAAAATAAGACAGAACGATCAATTTTGGTTTAGACCACTATTTTTGAACAGTCTTTTGAGCAGTTTACGTTTACTATCTTCCCTTCTACTTAACTGCCTCCGTGATCGAACGGTGACCATGCTGCTATGCTATCCCACGCGGGTTCAATTCCCGGGCCGGGAGAAAAATATGTATGGCCTACATTTATTTCTCTCGTGAGTTTGGGTGTAATTTCTGGTTGTCTATGAGTGTGTCCATAGCATCCGCGACACAGGGTGTACAAAACTTTGGTGTGCCAGTGGTCCAGAATATGATTTTTTTACTATGTTGCAACTTGTACGCCATTGTGAATGCAAATAAAGAATAATTAAAAAGTTATTTTGCACGATGTACCTACTAGATTAGCAGACTAGCAAATTGATTTACTTACATTTTTATAAAAATAAATTAAACGATCAATAGTTATTTGTTATGCAAGGCTGCTGTTGTTGTTGTTGTTGATTGATTGACGCGAGTGTTTGTATTAAAACCTGAGCAAAAACAAAGGTGGCTAAGATTGAAAAAAGAAATAGAAAGTTTTACGGCACGAGACGCAAAACAACATTGCTGCCGAGCGAAACACACAACTATTCACATCACTATAGCGAGGAAAATTGCATATAA